GCCTATCCTCAGTAGACATCTATAGGCATACATACACACACATATGCAAACACACACATACACAGACACACACACATGCAAGAACACACAAGCACACATGCACACACACAATTATGTATACCTACATGCAAAATTACAATAAACTATAAGATCAAAACTACATTTTCTGCTAGCTTGAGGATTTCTTACCTTTGGAAAACACCAACAAAATAATCTGTCATGATACTTAGCTTATTACTTCACTGTTTAAAACTAAGGTACAAAGTAAATATGTAAAATTGTGGTAACTTAAGGAGTCTGTTTGTTTCCTTCCACCTATAGAAAGTTTAAAATGGGTGGGTATTCTAACCAAGTCAATAACAGAGTAGACTTTTTGGATTCATTCATTTCATCTGACCAGATGATGTTTATCAAAGGTTTTGCAAAATAGGTCTGTTCCTTGCTATCCCTCTTCTTCACAAATGAATAACAAGAAATGCACTTAGTTAATTCATTCTATTGTGCAATAATTAAGATATACACAGGAAAGACATTCTGGGTAAAACTCTTCTGTTGCTCACAATATGAAAATTATATTGCATCAGTCAACCACAATTGAAGATCAAGTCACAAATGACTACATAATTGTCTTAGAGCCTATTATTCTAAATTCTTGGTTTGAATAGGAACAAAGCATAACTGAACATTGTTTTCTCAGTACACCTGAACACTTAACACTCATTCTGTGTTAGTTTGAATGTAACTGGCCCCCATAATCTCACAAGGAGTGGCACTATTAGGAGGTGTGGCTTTGTTAGAGTGTGTATGGATTGTTGGAGGAAACTTGTCACTATGGGGTCGACTCTGAGATTTTCTATGCTTAGGATACCACCTAGTGTCTCAGTCAACTTCCTGTGGCCTTCTAATCAAAATGTAGCCAGCACCATGTCTGTCTGTTGCCATGCTGCCTGCTTTGATGATAAAGGACTCGACATCTGAACTGTAAGCCACAACCTCAATTTAATGTTTTCCTTCATAAAAGTGGCCATGTTCATGGTGTCTCTTCACAACAATAGAAACCCTAACTAAGATATCTTCCAACTAAATTATGTATTGCAAAACGTTGATGCCATTTGGTTTCATAATGTTCATCCCTTCCAAAAGTGCATGTCATATTGGATCCACTAATATATACTCAAATAATATTTATTCAGGTAGGAAAAGTGTATGGGCTGATTTTCTGTGATGGTCAAGAAAGGAAAACATACCTTCCTTTCTATGTGTGATAATTTGATGAATTTTGAATTTGGAGGCAAATGCCTTCTAATTTTCTTCAATGCTTTATTTATTCAAATTAAATGGTAAGATTTGTATATTGCTAGCTTTGAAAGAAGCATGTGATTGTACTGTGTTTGTGTGTGTGTGTGTGTGCCTGTGTGTGTGTGTGTGTGTGTGTGTGTGATTGAAATCAGAGTTTTCAGAGTTTGTCATTGAAAAATTTCTGTACCCTGATAAACCTACCCACTATTGCAGGAATCCAAAGCAGAGCAAATCAAATTATAAAAATCCCAAGTTTAATGGCTACAATGCTCTTGGATGGCCTTCCAGTCCCCTAGAGAGAACACAGGAAAGGAAGACCAGAAAACCACAAGACTGCTTTCTGGGGGACAGTTTAAATACTCTGTGGGAGTGATCTTGAGCATCTCTGGGGGAGGTTGTCATCATTTGCTGGGTTTTCTGTGATGCAACAGGGTTTGGAAGGAGATAGGGGAGGGGAGCTTGGGTGGAACTTCTACCATAACTTTTCAGACTCTTAGGGTATGTGTATGCCAGGGGCTGGGGTGAACCTTCCACCATCACAGTTTTCTCAGAATGTCAGCAGCCTTGTCCTTGGAGACCTGGTCTCTTGCTTTTAGCTTTGTCAAAGCGAGCTTGTAAAACAATCCCCAGTGATCCATCTCCCTTCTTATTCCCAGCACTTAGATTACAAGTGTTCCATAGTGTGTGGTTTTTCTCCAAGGGTTCTGGGATTGAAATCAGGTACTTACGCTTGCATAACAAATTATTTATTACCTGAGTTATTTTGCCAACCCCAAAGAAGGATATTATTTATGGTATTATTAACTTATTGTAATTCTACTTACTGTGACTGTAGGAAAGCATAGCTTTCTTTTTATGATATTTTATGTAATTTAGAAACAACCTTTTTTATATGAAAATCCCAGTTATTTCCCCTTCCCCTCTTTCCCTCCTCCCCTGCCTCCCACCAACCCCGAATTCCATCCTCTCTCTGTTCCTCAGGGAGTGTTAAGCCTTCTGTGGGGATCTTCAATGTCTATCATATCATTTGGAGCAGGATCTAGGCCCTCCCCCATGTGGGCAGGCTGAGAGAGTATCTCTCTATGTGGAATGGGTGGCCAAAGTCCATTCTTATCCTAGGGGTAAATACTGATCTGCTACCAGAGCTCCCATAGATTCCCAGATCTTTTAACTGACACCCATGTTCAGGGGGTCTGGATCATTCATATGCCGGTTTCCCAGCTATCTGTGTGGGGTCCATGAGCTCCCCTTTGTTCAGGTCAGCTGTTTCTGTGGGTTTCTCCAGCCTGGTTTTGACCCCTTTGGTCATCATTCCTCCCTCTCTGCACTGGATTCCAGGAGTTTGGCTCATCATTTAGCTGTGGGTGTCTGCTTCTGCTTGATCTGCTACTGAATGAAGGCTTTAAGACGGCATATAAGGTAGGCATATACCCAAAAGATACACATTCATTCATCAAGGACATATGCTCAGCTATGTTCATAGCAGCATTATTTGTAATAGCCAGAACCTGAAAATAACCTAGATGGCCTTCAACTGAAGAATGGATTAAGAAAATGTGGTACATATTTACACAATGGAGTACTACTCAGCGGGGGAAAAAAGGAATCTTGAAATTCGAAGGCAAATGGATGAAACTAGAAAAAAAATCTTGAGTGAGATAACCCAATCACTAAAAGTGAAACATGGTATGTACTCACTTATATATGGATTTTAGACGTAGAACAAAGGATTACCAACTTACAATCCACAACACCAGAGAAGCTAGGAAACAATGAGCACCCTAAGAGAGACATACGTGGTCCCCTGGACAATGGAAAAGGGTCAAGCTCTTCTGAGATTATTGCAAGCATGAGGGAGGGTAGACGGAGTTAGGACACAGAGAAGGGGAGAAGAGGAGCAGAGAGGAAGACAGGAGGGAGGAGGAAGATAGAGTCTTGGAAAGAATAGAGGAGAACAGGAAACGAGATACCATAATAGAGGGAGCCATTATAGGTTTAAAGAGAAATCTGGCACTAGGGAAATGTCCATAGATCTACAAGGTTGACCCCAACTAATAATCTAAACAACAGTCCAGAGGCTACCTTAAATGCCCTTCCCCTATAATGAGATTGATGATTACCTTATATGTCATCCTAAAATATAGGTTTTGTATATATTTACAAAAATCTTTTAAAAGGAGATGCAAATGTCCATAAATAATTACTTTAAAAAAGGCTAGAAAGTCACCTGCATCCATAATATACTTATTTTAGTTGTATGAATCCAAAATTATCCCACAGCTACTTATCTAAGTTCTCCTTACAAATTTTAACATGCATTGCTCATATGCAAATTATTAAGATCTTGGAAGATAGTCCATTTCCAGACTGGAGGAAGGCACCACTGACAGATACAGCACTGACAAATATAGACTGAGGCACTTTGTCTCATAAAATTAGCAGTGAACTCCTTCATCAAGTAGGAACTCAAGAATGAACAACTATTTATATTCCAGGTCTCTTTGTGGGTTGTCTTGATTGTATCCTCTGTGGAAAACACACCTCCAGACAGAGATTAGTTCTGGGTTAACAAGGTCACCAAATAATGATCCGTGGCCAGATTTTCTTGTGATTAGATACTAACTTCAATGCAAAATAACCTTGGGTATTTCTTGTCTGATCAAGAGGGATGAATGGTTGTAGAGATGTCTAGGTCAGGGCTCACTCATAAGTTCATTTCTCCACACTGTTGATTTGGTTCTTCCATAAGAATGTATAGAATGATAACCCAGCTGTACCCTAACCATATGTTCAAGCTCACACAAAAGTCAAATAAGCTTTCTTTTCTAAATTACTCCTTTCCTTGATGTATGGACCTTATTTATAACCTCCCTCTGTATAGCCATAACACTATCACAGAGGGCTTAGTTTCTGAAAAGCATAGCAATTGCCTGAAAATTGATTTGATGTCTTTTGCCCATCCCTCCCTTAGGTCCCTGAAGACATTTTAATATGAGCCCTGACATTATGATGGATGAAAGCTGGCATTTCACTGTAGCAAGGCCACTCCCATATGGGAAATAACAGCTTGTTCAAAAGCTAGTCTTCTAGGCAGACTTGGGATATACAGGAAGATACATTTCAAATCTTGTACCTCTTCTTCCTTTTAAAAATATCTGCCCTTAACATCTCTGTGTTGATTATTATAAAATTCCCTAGGCATCACAGGTTAGAGCTAATTGCAGGTCACATACTGAAAATAATAAATGTCACTGAGTAGTAGGGCTAATTGTAGAGAACAAACAGGGTAGATTTGGAAAGCTGCAATAATACATTTATTTTTCAGTACAAGTTCCCTTCTTCAAAAGAACTAACTTTCCAATTATTTGTGAATTGGAATATTAAAAAGATATTCTAAGGATAATAAAAAAAACCTCCTATGTCTGCCATGCCAGTAGGCCAGATGCAAAATAAATCCAGGAAGTTTATTCTACGATAAAGCATATGTTCTTGTGAATAACAATTCATCTAACTATGTTAAATACCATAGTCAACTCTTTTAAGGTTAATAAAAAATTGACTAGAAGACAAAAATATTGGTAATTATATGCATTACAATCAAGATTAATATTATTTAATTGTCAGGGTATCATGTGCCAGGAGATTTTAAATAGGATATTTTCAGACCTTTGAGACAACTAATCTATGTTCTTTTTCCCTAGGGTCTTCTATTGGTTTATGTTACCTACTAAAACAATACAGATGGGGATGGTAAGATGGTTTGGAAGGTAAAGATCTTGCCTTTATCCTGGGGATTTGAGGTCTATTCCTGGGACCACATGGTGGAAGAAGACAATGAATTCTATGTAGCTGTCCTCAGACCCCTACTTGCACTTCTTGTCATGTATTTTTGTCTGTATACACATACACATGCATATGCGGGCACATGCATGCATACTTACATGTGCATACATGTGCATACACATAAAATTAAAAATTAATTGTAGTTAGAATTAAAGCATAAAATATATGTGCACACAAAGAAAAGAAGTAAATATATCTTAATAATTGCATTGGACTTTCATAAAGGCTCTAACCATTTCTGTTCTTAACCAGTAGAACACATTTCTTCAAAGGCCTATAACATTGGGCAATTGATTAGCATAGTGGAGGAAGAAACTCTGAAGCCAGATTTCCTTATGCAGATATAAAGTGCCAGCTGTTTGTGAGGTGGATACAAAAGGGTTTCAAGTTTAAAGTTTTTCTGTTTACAGGGAACCAATTGGATGAAGTAGTAAGACTCTGTCACAAAATACCAAGTGAAAGGGTGAGGGATGTAGTTCTCTCATAGAGCACTTATCCAGCATGGACAAAGGACCCAGGATCTGGTCAGTGGATGTTGGATTCATGACTTTTCAGTCCCCAAGTGCAAATGGGTGCTATTTTATTAGAAAACAAATCAGAACTTAACATTTCCCACACTCACTCATGGTTAAATGATAAAACAAGGCAATCGTTGTCAATAAACATATACTTCATAAATTATTCAGCAAAGGCATAAATTTAATGTTCCTATGAGACTGGACTTAGGATAATATATAGTTTATACCAGGGGCATTTTGTATCAGTCTAGTTTACTTTGTGTGCATTAATGTGACTAGATTTACTTTTCAGTTTCACTTATATTTTTCTTTCATTTTTTGGTAACTACCTCCTTCAAATTCCTTTGACAACCTGAGAATATCTTGCAGCTGAATGCAATATTAATTACATTTCAAAGCAAACCTTTATTCATTTGGGGGCAATCTGTGAAACAGAAATCTGTGACTGAAGCTGCTGCCAAGCCAATTACTGCAAAATAACTCAAATATGTCTGGACAGATTGCATTTCTCCTATTGTTAGATTGTTTATTCCATAGATCAAAAGGCTATATTCACTTTAATTAAAATGAGCCAGCTCACAAAGTTAAATATATCACAAACTTCTTCTGATTGTATAAGGGATTATGTATAGACAGACTGTACTAATGCAAATCTGTTTTGTCTTGAATTTACAGCATAATTTATGTTCTTTTTCTAGATTTTTCTAGGCTTTCTTTATGTCAAATCTTCCTTCATATGAACAAGCCAGAGAAGAAATAACTTGTCAGAGGCGAAGTACACAGCAAAGGGAAATTATTCAGTACTGAAAGCAAACCACATATCACATCACATCACGCAGGCAGAAGAGATTGGCAAATTGCAACAGGTTGGAAGGTGCACTTGACATTCAGATGCTCATCTGAACTTTATCTGAACAACTCAGATGCCTCAGTTCTACAACACAAAGCTATGGATTTTATTATTCTCTTCTGAAGCCTTTGAAGTGCTGTTGCATGAAGTTTATAAACATCCCTTTTTCTTCAGGATGAAAAAAACATGAACCAATATATTGATCTACAGAAAAAAGTATAAAGCTTTACAACTTTGAAGTCAATCTGTCAGTCTCCAATATTATTATATCATCTATCTGTTGTCCAACCATCTATCCATTTATCTACCTATGTAGCTAACATATATCTATCCTTCTACTTATCTACCAAGAAAACAAAGTTTCTGCTGAAATCTAAAAAGATAAATTTATTAATTTGCCACCAACACCCCTTCATGATAAAGGTCTTGGAGAGATCTGGGATAACAGGGGCATACTTAAACATAATAAAAGCTATATACAGTAAACCAACAGCCAACATCAAACTAAATGGACAGAAACTCAACACAATTCCTCTAAAATCAGGAACAAAACAAGGCTGTCCACTCTCTCCATACCTTTTCAACATGGTACTTGAAGTTCTAGCTATTGCCATACGACAACAAAGGGGGATCAAGGGGATACAAATTGGGAAGGAAGAGGTCAAACTTTCACTGTTTGCAGACGATATGATAGTTTACATCAATGACCCAAAGAACTCTACCAGGGAACTCTTACAGCTGATTAACACCTTCAGCAAAGTGGCAAGCTACAAGATCAACTCAAGAAAATCAGTAGCCCTACTATATACAGATGATAAAAGGGCTGAAAGAGAAATCAGAGAAACATCACCCTTTACAATTGCCACAAACAACATAAAATACCTTGGGGTAACGCTAACCAAACAAGTGTAACCAACCAACCTGTATCGTAAGAACTTTGAATCTTTAAAGAAAGAAATTAAAGAAGCCCTCAGAAAATGGAAAGATCTCCCATGCTCTTGGATAGGTAGGATCAATGTAGTTAAAATGGCAATCCTGCCAAAAGCAATCTACAGATTCAATGCAATCCCCATTAAAATCCCAGCACAATTCTTCACAGACCTTGAAAGAACAATAATCAATTTTGTATGGGAAAACAAAAGACCCAGGATAGCTAAAACAACCCTGTTCAACAAAGCAATGTCCAGAGGCATCATCATCCCTGACCTCAAGCTCTATTACAGAGCTATAGTCCTGAAAACAGCTTGGTATTGGCACAAAAATAGACAGGTAGACCAATGGAATCGAATTGAAAACCCGGGTATTAACCCACACACGTATGAACATCTTATCTTTGACAAAGAAGCTAAAAATATACAATGGAATAAAGAAAGCATCTTCAACAAATGGTGCTGGCATAATTGGAGACAGGCATGTAGAAGAATGCGGATCGATCCATGTTTATCACCATGCACAAAACTTAAGTCCAAATGGATCAAAGACCTCAACATAAATCCAGCCACACTGAACCTCTTAGAAGAGAAAGTGGGTGGTACCCTTGAACGAATTGGTACAGGAGACAGCTTCCTGAACATAACACCACTAGCACAGACAGTGAGATCAACAATTAATAATGGGACCTCCTGAAACTGAGAAGCTTCTGTAAGGCAAAGGACACAGTCAGCAAGACAAAAAGGCAGCCCACAGAATGGGAAAAAATATTCACTAATCCCACATCTGACAGAGGGTTGATCTCCAAAATTTACAAAGAACTCAAGAAGCAAGTCTCCAAAACACCAAAGGATCCTATTAAAAAGTGGGCTGCAGAACTAAATACAGAGTTTTCAATAGAGGAGTCTAAAATGGCTGAGAGGCACTTGAGAAAGTGCTCAACATCCTTAGCCATCCGGGAAATGCAAATCAAAACAACTCTGAGATACCATCTCACTCCTGTCAGAATGGCTAAAATCAAAAACACCAATGACAACTTATGCTGGAGAGGATGTGGTGAAAGGGGGACACTTCTCCCTTGCTGGTGGGAGTGCCAACTTGTTCAGCCACTTTGGAAATCAGTATGGAGATTCCTCAGAAAAATGGAAATAAACCTACCACAAGACCCAGCAACTCCACTCTTAGGCATATATCCAAAAGATGCCCATTCATACAACAAAGATGTCTGTTCCACTATGTTCATAGCAGCTTTATTTGTAATAGCCAGAACTTGGAAGCAACCTAGATGCCCCTCATCCGAAGAGTGGATAGAGAAAATGTGGTACATCTACACAATGGAGTACTATTCAGCAGAAAAAAATAATGGAATCATGAGATTCGCAGGCAAATGGATGACACTAGAGGAAACCATCCTGAGTGAGGTAACCCAGTCAGAAAAAGAGAAACATGGCATGTACTCTCTCATATATGGATTTTAGACATAGATCTGGGGAGAGCCAGTCTACAATCCTATGGCCAGAGAGTCTGGGAAACAGAAACTTCATTTAGTGGCTGATGGAAGAAGAGGCAGACTCCCTTGGTTAAGTACTGAGCTGAACTCAAGAAAGCCAGTAACAGAGAGGGAGGACTGATGATCAAAGGGATTAAGACTGGGCTGGTTTAACCCCCAGAAACAGCTGACCAGACAAAGGTTAACTTTTGAATCCCAGGCATCAGCCTGGGAATCCAGCATGGGACTGATCAAGACCCCCTGAATCTGGGTGTCAGTGAGGAGGCCTAGGGAATCTATTGAGCCTTGGGCAGCAGATCAGTACCCATCCCAAGTATACACACGGACTTTGGACTCCCATAGAACAATGTGAGGTGCACTCTCACCCTGAACTCTTGGGGAAGGGTCTAGGCCCTGCCCTATATGAAATGACAGACTATGGACACCCCCATGGAGGGCCTCACCCTCCCTGGGGGAATGAGGGTATAATGGGCGGGGGTTGGGGGGGAGGGCATGGGAGGAGGGGAGGGAATGGGAGAGGGACCTGGAACTGACTTGTGAAGCAACCTCGTTTCTTATCTAAATTTAAACTGGAAAATAAAATATTAAAAAAATTAAAAAATGTTAAAAAGAAAAAAAACAAAAAAATGAAGCAAGTAAATCATTTAGGTTGAAGTTAGAAATGATGACATTTGGACTGGAGAGAGGTTGTGTTAGAAATTGAGATGAAGAGATTCTATATTGAAGGCAACCGTCTGAGAGACTTAATGGTAGTAAGGAGTGATAAAAAAAAGGAAATAAAGACAGATTTCAAAGTGAAAAAAAAAGATAAATTTATGGTTTTTATTGTCACTACTTTTACTTTTTATTAAGGATATATCAGTCTTTAGAGATGTAAATGGTACACTCCAGGTCTATAAACTATAAAATGAAATGAAAATGGCATTACTATAAACCCCAAGATACCCATTTATTTTCATGATACCACCAAATGCTTATTTTGGTTTTCATGTCACAAGGTTTTAAGACTGTGGAATGGAGGAGGTGTTCTCAGGACACTTTGGTAAGAGAAAGTTCTGTGAAGTTTCAACTCTGACAGGCATGACCCCAGGCAGGAGAAGAACAATAGTGACCATGTGAATAAAACAAACCAGAAAAGAACAGACAATCAGTAGATGTTTTTAAAACTTCATACACTTGATAGAACACTGCTCATAGTGTGGTCTGTTTGTCAATGGTCTGAGTGAGAAGAGGAGAGGCTCTCAAACACTCAATGCTTCGATCAATGCTATCACCAAGACTCCAATGGAGTAAATTTTCCCAGCCTGTGCCCACCTTGTATTATCTAGCCCTGTTTCTCTAAACAGCCACATTTACTCTTCAGCATACATTGCAGGCCAACACTATGGTTGCCTTCCAGGGTTCCTTCCACTCACTGCACAGAATCAGACTCAGAAAATCAATGTATTTTTGTCAGAGTTCATGTGAGTCAATCATGGCAGGTTGTTTTATACTTTCTGTAGTTTCTATGACACAGAGATATCTCTTGTTGTTATCTTGACACAAAAGGCCATAATTTGAGTGCAAGAAATAACAAATATCTAATTTTCATAGTTCTGCAGATTGGAGTAAAGATCTGTGTGGCCACCATTTTTGTTTCTGGTGCATTCTCTGGATTCCAGACAACTTTGTCTCAACAAAACACCTAGTGTCTTGTACATCTAAAAAGGTACTAATCTTACCACAGGCCCCACAGTTATTGCCGCACTTAAACATAATTGTCTTCCAAAGGATTCCTTTCCAAATACCATTGTTTTGAGAATAATCTCTTTTACAAAGGAGCTGTGATATTACAAAAATATTCATTCCATAACAAATTACTTTCAAACTGTTTCCTTGTATGAATTTGGCTATTCTAGCTCTTATACAAGCCAAATTTGTCTTCTGGATTTGTACCTCCCCCCTCTCCATCTTAGAAGAAGGAGGAATTTTGGAATTACAAGTAAATAAGATGAAAATTTGAAACTGACAACTCTGGTATAAACTATTCTGATCATAACATATTTTGGATTCTGGTAAGCAAAGAACTCCATGTAATATGTGTCAACACACAAGAAGAGTCCGTGAATAAATCATGTATTTTTCCAAAGATGTGTTGTGACTACTACCCTACTAGGAAAATACAGTCTCTATTGTACACAGTGCTAAAGTATGTAAAGTACTTTCAGGTGTACATAAGTTCTACTTTCAGAGTGCACATCACTTTTCAAAAGTCAAGTTAATTATTTCAGAGTACCAAAAAATTTTTAAAGATGTGAGGTTCAAAAATAATCCACCACAGGTTCAAAAAGAATAAGGAATAAATACAGATAGATTTATGTATATGTGTATATGTGATCGCATTGACCTTGCAGTACTATATTTATTTTCATGGGAGGGATGCTGCAAGGATGATAAAATGAATAGCTCTCTGGTGGTGAGTCTTCAAGATCCAGCCACAGAATCAGATCAAAGGATAGTCAGTCTACTCCCAGGCAATGACTAGGCTTAGAATGAATACCAGAGTCATCCTTGCAGAGCTATTGAATGGACCACTATTGCAATTTCAAGGTTCCCTTTAGCCTATTCCTGTTCCTTTACTCTTAAAGATTTTTACCCTAAAGCATCCATCTTAGTATAAGTTACTTAATGGATCAGATTAATAATGTATGCGTGTTGTTATTCACACCCACTTACAGGTTCCTTCCTGTATGTTTATAGTAAGATACAATTATATTTTTCCATTTCCATTTCCATTTCCATAGAAACTCACATTTTTAAAATTCCTCTGAGAGATTATCAATGTTTTCCTCATTTGTTAATAAATTCTGAAGTCACATGCTACATGCTACACATTTTATATGATGATATGTCTATGAACATAGACATTTCAATAAAAAACTATGATTTTGTAACTGTAATATGTTGAATAAGCCCAGAAATAAACAAAGATTATTAATTCCCAATAGGGTCTTTGAGAGAACATGTCAAGATATCATATAATTCTA